CAGCTTGGCCGGTCGATCGTCTTTACTCTCGCCCTCAACTCCCCCGCTACAGGAAGCGGTCAAGCCTCGCAAGGAAAGGAACAAGAAACCCCCGCAAAGGAACAACTACACCCCAAGTCGATCAAGATCGACGACCTACCTGGCACGTAGCCTGAAGATAATCCATGCTACGCATTCCCACCATCCCGCGTCCCGCCAAGACGAGACCAATCCAGGCCAAGCTTTCCATCAAACCCACCAGAGGAGTGTAACCAGCCCCGCCGACGGGTACACAAGGTGAGCCTTCAACAACCCCACGGTTATCGGAGTACCCCCTCCGTTAGTCGGCTGTCCGGGCCACTGTGTGTCAGAGTGGATCGCAACGTGATTTTGCGACCCCCACTCCACCACAGTCGCCCTTTTCGCCGGACCTCATCATGTCCAACTGCCTGGGCGACACTAGACCTCGTGTCATCATTACCTTGATGGCTGCCAGTAAGGATACACATTAGACTCTAAACCGGTCCAGCTGGTTCCATCGAGGCGACACGGTCCTCCGCTTTAGTTGCGTTTTTTTTCCAATCGTCCGGGGAGCTTGTCAATCCGCCTACTCACTACGATCTGTGACACCTATCCCCGACTTCGGGTTGGGGACGTTAGATAACCACTAACTTGGTTTAACATATACTTGACCTCTTCATCGATATGACTTGTTCACTCCACACAACTGTTGCCTTATCCGCCGCGGCATTGGTTCCAGCCCACGAGTTACTCCACTGCTCGTCAATCCTACCAAGCACACCATACAGGCACGTTCCACTTCCATCCTCGACGCAGCCTAGCAGTGCCAAGACGCCCTCGTTCACTGCCGCAATCTGCAAAGTCACTTTTCCTGTTGTTGTAGCAGCATAATGTAGCCGTTGCGGTGAAGTGCTTTTAAAGGTATGAGAAGATTAGTGGGTACTATTGGGGGGTTAGGGACGGGTTGGCTTGAATGTAGTAGCTTTGCAGCTAGTTTGACCAGAGAGTGAATGGTTCAGACGAAAGGTGTACTAATAAGATTCGGTGTTAGCTCATAGTGGTGGTTGGAAACGGGAAACAAGATGTGATATGGATGGATCAGACAGTTACAAGATCCGTTACTACCAAGCCGAGTTTTCTGGTATAAGAAGGCAAACTGATCCTGGCTCTTGGCGGCTAGATTAGAGCAACTGGACCAAGGATCACGAAAATGAAGGTTAAGAGGGTGTGACGAACTCAGCTTAAAACCGAGAGTCACGCATCCGGACACTGTTGAGCGGGATTCAATGCTGTCTATGTGTGGCAGGATCTATTCTGAGGGTCATAGGCAGCGAACGCGGTTATGGGGCGTTCCAAGCGAGGAAGATCGAGAGAAAACTTTTAGGAGTTGGGTCAACGTGGAATCTGCCTCGGTATACGATTTAGGCAGCTGCAACTAAGGTGACCAGGATCTGACGTATCTGCTGCGCTCCGGGCATAACGCGAGAGTTACGCATCAAATCGATCAAGATCCGGTATGAGGGACAGCTGCTCTAAAAACATCAACAAGGAAGTGCATGCGCATAGCAATAGATGGGAGATCGAGTGATAGTGAGGATAGAGCCAGTTGATGTATATGACATAAATATTGATCAGACTCGAATTGCATTTGTGTTACACAAGTGCCTGCCCTCAAAATCCGGAACGATATTGGATGCATCGACCTCAATGAAGGTTGGGAAAAGCAGATCTAGCTTCGGTTGTGATACCTGATTTTAAATTGGTCATATCACACCACCTGGTGAAATAACTCTTACAAGTGCATTTCAACTAAATTTACCCGATTTACTCTTGGGCCGGGAATGGTGTACTGCTGAGCGTATCGGAGAAATGGTGTTTTCTGAGGGAAGGATA